GTCTTTTTGTGGATTTCTAGCCTTATGGCATAGTGGTTGGGGAGAGATGTCTGTATGATCTCTATGTGCTTGAATTTACTCAGGTTCAACTTGTTTCCCAGCATGTATGTGCCATGGGGGCTTGAAAATAATGTGATTTTTTTTTTGCATTTGGGTGGAAAGCTCTGAAGATATCTATCAGGGTAAGTTGTCCAATTGTGCTATTTAGATCTGTAGCCTCCTTGTTAAGTTTCTTTCCCCGTGATCTGTCTTTTTCATAGGGTGGTGTATTAAAGTCACCAACTATAATCGTTGAGCATGTGATTTCTTTTATTATCTTTTGGAGTGTTGACTTATGAATTTTCGGGGTCTTTCCTTAGGTGCGTATATATTTATTATGCTCACTGGCTCTTGGTCTACTGTTCACTTGAGCATCATACAGTACCCCTCATCTCTTGTTATGGCTTGTACCTTGAGATCCATTTTGTGTGAGATTAAGATTGCTACCCCTGCTTTTTTTTTTTTTGGCATTGCCATGTGCTTGGTGTATTTTTCTCCAGCCTTTATTTCTCAACCTGTTTTTGTCTGAAAGTTTGAGATGTGTCTCCTGTAGGCAGCAGATCGATGGGTTATATTTTCTGAGCCAGTCTGTTAGCCTCTGCCTTTTAATGCCTGAGTTCAGTCCATTGATATTCAGTGTCATTACACCCACCTCTGGACTCTGTGATGTCATCTTGTACCTTTGTGTTGGGTGTTTTCCTACCTACCTATCTTAGTTTGTGTTGTGTGTGTGTGTGTGTGATTCATTTTTGCCTTCATTCCACTTTTGAACTAATGATATCTTGGGGGATGTTTTCTCTTTGTCGCCCTCTGGGTGGAGTTGTTCTATGTGATGGTCTCTTATTTGCGCTCGGTGAGTGTTGCTCCTCTGCCCATACTGGGTCGGCAAGGATTTTTTTGTAGAGCTGGGTTTCTTTTTATGTATTCTTTGAGTTTTTCCCTGTCTGGGAAGACTCTTACTTCTTCATCTATCTTAGTAGATTATTTGGCTGGGTATAATATTCTTGGGTTTGCCTTATTTACCTTCAATTTTTGGAATATGTTCCTCCACTCCCTCCTCTTCATCATGTCTGCTGGTAGGTCTGAACATATTCTTATTTGGGTACCTTTATAAGTGACTATTTGTTTTTCCCCAGCTGCTCTTATGATTTTCTCCTTTTCCTCATAGTTGGATAATTTAACTACTGATTTTGTTGATTTCTTGGGATTCAGTCTGGCTGGTGTTCTTTTGGTCTCCTGAATGATTGCCTGATTTTCATTTATTAAGCTAGGGAAGCTTTTCACACATGGCTCTCAGGTTTTCTTCAACTTCCCCGATGGTCTTATTTGATTGCTTTTCCCATTTGTTGAAGTCTGCTGGGTATCCTCTAGGTCACTGGTGCAATTATCTGCTTCCTCAAGTCTGTTGGCAAAGTCTGTTAATTTGATACTGGATTTTGTTATTTCGTCTTGTATTTCCCTTTGATGCGCTGCCTTTATATCCTCTATCATTTCATCCTTTCCCTGTATTGCTTCCCTAATATCCTGTATGACTCCAAGCAGGATTCTGAAAATTTCTTTCTGTGGCAGGTTAATGTCTGCTTCTTCTATGCATGTCATTAGGTTCATGACTTCTTCCAGCATTGTCTTCCGTTTCTCCTGCTTTTTCGTTGAGGCTGTGGGGGGTGGTTGCTGTTTATGTGTTATTTTAGAGGAGCCCAGCACCATCTTCCAGAGTCGAAGAGCGCTGGGATCTCTCTTGGGGGACTCATACAAGTGCTTCTATGAACTACCTGAAGGTAGCTGAAATGGGGTGGTGGTGGTGGTGTCAGGCTGCTCCTGTATATTCCTGTGGTTTCATTCTTACCCTAGCTAACCAGTATTCAGTTATTTCACATGTGAGTTAGATAGTCCTCTCCCGGGACACTGGTTGGGTGATTGTGGGCCTACAAGGATAGAGTTTCACTGGCTGATCTCCCAGTAAGCTGTGGTGGTGTGTCTTATGGGGCTTGGAGGACCTCAAATGGCACGTGGTGTTTCCCTCTGCTACTGGAATGCCACGGAGGGTGTGTGGGTGTACCCTCCTTGATGTAGAGCACCGTAGATGTCAGGTGGAATTACCCTAGTTGGAGAGATCGCCGTGGATGTTGGGCAGATGTTCCCGCAGCAGCATGGAGCACCACAGACGGTAGGCAGGAGTTCCCCCAGTCACTTGTAGGGCCTTGGGGTGTAGGCTGGAGTTCCCCCAGCCATCTGAAGGGAAGATTCCCCCAGCCACTTGCAGTATGGTGGAGGATGGGCGTGATTTCCCCAGCTGTGTGTAAAGCTAACAAGTGCGGGTGTGATCTCTCCCAACTGGGCCGTCAGAGTTGCCCTAGGCAGAGGGGAGTGACCTGGAGGGTGGTAGTGGCTGTAGAAAGGAAAGAGAGGGAGAAGAGAAGAAAAAGAGAGAAAGGAGACAACAAAGACAAGAGCAAAAATAAAAAACAGACTAACACACACAAATTCAAAGACAAAACAAAAATAACAAAGAGTCAAAAAAAGAAAAATTGAATCTGCTAAGACTGTGATGGGAAAGAGAGTAGAGAGAAGAAGAGGGGAAGAAAGAGAAGAAAAGAAAGGAACAAAGAGAAAAAGAAAAAAAATAGATAAAGAGATAGCTGAGCCCTGTACTGTGCTGTGTGTAGCACTGCCTCATTGGCAGGCTGGAGCTCTCCCCACTGGGTAAGCGGATTTGCCCTAGGCAGAGGGTAGGGGGCTGGACACCAGCAGCGGCATGTGGAAGGAAATAGAGGTAGAAGAGAGAAACACAAGAAGAAAAGGAAAAAGAAGAAGAAAGAGGGGAGAAAGAAGGGGCAAAACACAACTGTACTCGCTAAGATTGACGGTGCTGAGAAAGAGAGAAGAAGAAAAATAAAGAGTAGAGAGATAGCTGATCCGTGATTGCCTGAACACGGGGCTGGAGGGGTTTAAACCCTGCCCCCAAATGGCACATGGGTGTGCCCTTTTAGTACAGGGCCCTACTGGTGCTGGGTGGAATTACACTCGTTGGAAAGAGCACCAGAGAGCCAGACTGAGGTTTCCTCCGCAGCACGGAGGGCTGTACAGGGCTGTCACCGCTGTCTTGTGTGGTGTGCAGCACTTCCACAGAGGGCAGGCTGGAGTTCCCCCTGCTGTTGGGGTGGAGTTGCCCTAGGCCGAGGGTAGTGGCCGGGAAGCCAGCAGTGGTGTATAAAAGGAAAGAGAGGGAGAGAAGAGGAAAAAGATGGAAAAAGAAGAAAAAGAAAGAATAAGAGAAAAAATAAAACTGGACCCGTTGGGACCGACTGAGGTGGGAAAGATAGAAGGGAGAGAGAATAGAGAGAAGAAAAAGCATAGTAAGAAAATAACTGAGGCTTTCTCACCTGACTGTGGGGCTGGAGGAGTTCCAACCCTGCCTCAAGGTAGTGGGGTTGTGTGCCCGCTTAGTGTAGGGTCCCACAGATGCTGGGCAGAATTACCCTCGAAGGCAAGGTCACAGTGAAGGCCAGGCAGCGGTTCCGCAGCAGTGTTGCGTGCTGGAGATCACTGGTATAGCTGCCTTGTGCTGTATGCAGCACTGCAGCAGGGGAGAAGTTCCCTCCGCCATGTGTAGGGCCCCAGGACAGGCGGGGGATCCCCCAGTCACGCAGAGGACAAGCAGGACCTCCCCAGCTGCATGTAGGATCACTGAGGGCAGACAGTAGCTCCCCCACTCCCAGCCCCCATTGGGTTTGCAGCATTGCCCTACTTTGTTCCAAAACTGCTGATACCTTAATAGCTCAGAGTTGGTTTGCTTTTTCCCCCTGGCCTGCCTGAATTGAATTAAGTTACTCTGAAACTGAAGCTTGCTCCAGGTGGTCTTTGTTATGTTGAATGCCTCTGGGCTCTGTAGCTAACTTCTGGCCTTCCTTAGCCCAGGCTCACTTATTATGCTAATGTATGTTAAAGGACTCGTTCTACCAGTTGTCTTGGAGTTAAACAATGAACCTGGGATTAGCAGTTTTTATGGAGAAAATGTTTTCTCTTTTTTATATTAGGCTTGTGGGGTGCCCTGATTTCAGGGCTGTCATGCTGACCCCAGAGGAGGAGATTTAGCCTATCAGAGAGTTTGTTTTCTTTTCAGCCAACTGGAACTGAATTCGCCCCCTGGACTGCAACTACCTACTTCTGCTACAGCACGATCTGACTCAGGTAAATTTCCTGAAGTCTTTTCAATTGCTCCAAATCGATGGCTACCTACTCCGACCCTGACTCCCAGGCTATGATCTCGAGGCAGCTAACAGCACAGAGCTCTAGTGTGGGGTCCTGTGACTAGCTTTCAGAGGTTCACCTTGAGTCTGGGATTACGACCCCTTTTAGGCATCAGCCTGGGAAAATCGATACTCCCCTCTGAACTAGGGCACTGGTAGCTGCTCGACCAGCACACCAAACCGAGAGCGATTCAGTGCGTTCTTGGTTTGCTTTTTGAGTGAAAATTAAAAAAGGAGGGGTTCAGGACAGACCCTAGTACCCTGATTCTAATTTCAGGACTCCTCCTCCCAGTCTCCTTCACCTTACCTCCCAATTTTCTGGTCTGGCAGCAGGAGCTCTGGACGAGTTAATCTAACTGGATGTCATCTTCTTCCATCCCAATCTGTTTGATTTTTGATGCCACTTTAAATGGGATCATTCTCTTAGCATCATTTTCGGGTTGTCCCATGCAAATGTACAACACACAGTGGACTTTCTTGTGTCAATTTTGTCGTCTTGCTGAATTTGCCTATTCACGCTAGAGGTGGTTGTAGTGTCTCCCTGTGGTTTTTAAAGATATATGTCAAGTCATTTATCAATCGAAAGAGCTTTGCTCTTTCCTTTTCAATCTGGATGAGCTTTGTTCCTTCTTCCTTAACAAACTGTTCCGGTTTGAATTTCTAGAGCTATGCGGGATACCCATAAAAGGCAAACACACTGATCCTGTTCTGATATTACGGAGAAAACATGTGCTTTTTTCCCCCCACCATGAAGCATGTTGGCTATGGGTTTATTGCAGATGTCTTCTATCAGCTTGAGAAACGTCTCCTTTATTCCTACCGACTAATGGTTTATGCACTTATTTATTTATGTTATAAAATGGTGCTGGGTTTTGTCAAATGCCTTTTATTTGGAAACATTCTTTCTTTTTGATCTTAAGACCAGCTGTTCCCTGGAGGTAGAGCTGTGCGCTGTGCAACCCCCCCAAAGCCAATTCAGCTCCACCAAGTGACGGAACTACCAGGAATTGAATCCGCTATGGACACTTGGAGGAGGAACGGAGCTTCAGCCCTCTATAACAGTCTGGGTAAAGACAAGGATGTATATATGTTTCCTTAGAGCAAAGCGATCACGCCGACACATTCCATTTTCAAGGAAGAAGGAAAACTTGTTCAACCCTAGCTTCGAATTGTATCTAACAAGAGTGTCTTCTGCAATGGCAGACTTGACTTTGAGAGAAAGGAGGAGGCTCCAGGCTGACCCCTTTGGAAGGTTCTATATTAGAATGGAGAATAGATGGCTTGGGGATTTTATTTTGATAAGTTTTGTGCTTGGATTCATCAATGGATCCCCCTACTTTTTTTCCCCCTCTAGCTTTTATCTGTGTACTGTTAGTCTTCCTCCTGAAGGGTACGCCGGTTGTCACAGGTGAGTATGGGAAAGAGGGAAGAGGGTGCCTTGGGAAAGGGTCACAGAGAGCTCTGGTTTGGGAATTAGTGCCTGATCCTCCTCAGTCTCACACCAGCACTGTCTTCTCAGACTCCCCCATGAACTCCGAACTGTGGATATGCCATCGGCTCCCCATGTGTGGAGACAAGATCTACAACCCCTTGGAGCAGTGCTGTTTTGATGAGAGCATCGTGCCCCTGAATGCAACCCGCAATTGTGGCCCTGATTGTATCTTCTGGCCCTGCCATGAGCTCTGCTGTCCAGAAAATTATGGCGTCCACAAACATTTTGGTGTGAAGTTGAAGATTCTGGGAGCTAAGACCAAGTGCTCCTCACACTCCCTCATCACCAGGTTCTGCTCCAGCTAAAGCACCTCATCCCTGGCTGTGATGGTGGGGTGGCGATGGGGGATGGGCAGAGACAGGAAGAGAGTCTGGGAATCTTCTGACACGTGTTTTCCATTCATCTCTTTTTCTTTCCCTTTTAATGTCTTGCTGGAGTATATGAAGAGGAATCCGGCATCAAGATGGCGGGAAGACTCACTAATCACCTTTATTTTGTTAGTAGAGAGCTTTTTTTGTTGTTGTTGTAGAGATAAGTTGGTTAGACATTAAAATTCTTATACATCAAAAACTTGCTTGAGAGACATAACTGTAAATTAAAAACTCACACTATTAAACTTTGCCTTTTAGGGTCCTGGTTCTTACGTCATGATTTTCTGATTCCAAATGGCCAATACCAATCCATTTCAGCTCACGAATGGCTAGGATGTCGATCCTTATGCATTCGCTTCTGTCAATACAGTATTTCTACAAGACATCACAGAGCTGCATCCCACCTAGCCATGGCTCATCACTTAAAAAGTCACCTGGGGGATGACTCGGTGTGTGTGGGTCTCAGATGACAAAGGATGTGGCAATCTGGGTTAAGTAGGCGTCCCATCCTCCCACCTTACTCTCCTTCCTTCCCTTCCCCACCATCCTTCTCTCACCGGAAGTGCCCTCTCAGCTTGACCCCAAGTGGATGGGGATGTACACCAACTCTGTGAGGAAGGAGCAGGGCCAAGCGTTGGGCATCTTGATAGGCACTTATTTCCTCCTTTGGGGCAGATAACCAGGCTAGGTTCAGGTTACTTCTGAACCAAGCAACAGAAGCAGAAAAGAGACAAGGGCCTTCCCCTAGACCAAACACAGAGAAAACTTTCCCTAGATCCAGAAGCTTGATTCAGACTTCCAGCCTCCTGACCTGTGAGACAATAAATTTCTGTAGATTTTCTGGTGTAGTTAACAAAGACACCACTGAAGCCATCTCCTGAGACTGTCTTTGTTGAAGGCTTTCATTATTGATTCAATCTTTTCACACGGTCTTGGTCTATCCATATTTTCTATTTCTTCTTGAGTCTGTTTCAGTAGTTTGCTTGATTTTATTAATGTGTTCATTTCATCCAAAGCATTCGACTTCTTGGTGGATGGTTTTTTATGAGATTCTCTTATAGCCATTTCTACTTTTGTAAAGGTGGTAATGATGCACCCGCTTCCATTTACGATTTTAGTAATTTGAGTCCTCTTTTTTTTTGCCGTCATCAGTCTAGCTAAAGGGTTGTCAGTTTTGTTTTTGCCTTCAAAGAATCAACTTTTGGTTTGGTTGATTTTCTCTATTGTATTTTTATTTCATTGACCTCTGCTCCAATCATGATTATTTCCTTCCTTCCGTTACCTTTGGGTTGGCTTTGTTCTTGTTTACCTTGTCCCGTAAGGTGTCCACCTAGGTTATTGATTTGATAATTTCCATTTTTAAAAAATGAACGAGGGCATCTGCAAGGACACCTGCATTTCACAGCTTCTCTGACTAGTCACCTGGCACACAGATTAAAGTTGGGCCACATGAAGAGGAATGGGGGCATCAGGGTCAGAGAAGCTATTGACAACCTGTGATGTGTAGAGGACACAACCTTGCTGTTCAAAGTGAGGGGGACTTGAAGCACTTGTTGAAGATCAAGGATTTAAGTCTTCAGTGGATTGAAACTCAATGTAGTGAAAACCCCAATCGTCACAAATGGATTAATGGGCAACATCATGATAAATGGAGAAAAGATAGAAGTTGTCAAGGACTCCACCTTGTTTGGGTCCACAATCAATGCTCTTGGAAGCAGAAGGCAAGAGCTCAAACAACTCATTGCATTGGGTAAATCTGCTGCACAAGACCTCTTTCCCGTGTTGAAGAGCAAGGATGCTACTTTGAGGACTAAGGTGTGCCTGATCCAAGCCATTATATTTTCTTCCCCTCCAACCTCATACCTTTGTTTAATAAAGGTGTCTATGATTTTATAGCAATACTTTTGTTTTTAATTTTAAAATACTTTTTATTATGTAATGAATGAAAGTTTACAGAACAGTTTTGTGTTCAACAATTCATACACACTCTTTTCATCTCATGCATTTGAAATCTCCACAATGTAACATCACCTATCCCACTTTCTCCCTGTGTTTCTTGATTCCATTTCTTCCCTGGTCCTTTTGAACTTTGTCCTTAAGTAAATTCTCTCCCCTTTAAAAAGTTTTTAGATTTTTAACAATAATCATTACTATTATAAAATTTATATTTGTTGACATAGCTTACTCATTCCAATATATCCATTCACATACAATCCTGTTGTTTGGTCCCATTAAGTAGAAGGTTATACAATCATCAATACTTTCAACTCCCCTTTCTCCTCCTTTCCCCCCTAACTTCCCATACCCTCAGGGAACCATTACTTCTGTCACTGTCCCTGAGGGGTCGTCTATCTTGACTACTACGAACCGAGTGATCTTAAATATACAAATGAGCACACGCAAATCTAACATGGTTAATGAGGTATAACACATGCAGACCTTAATCGTAAGGGGAGGAGAATAGTTATGTGGTTCATCAGTGCCATACTGCACCCTGGATTTATCCGCTGTTTGTGAGGCCCTTCTAAGAGGGACAGTCCAATTGTCTTGCTGGTGGGCTTTGGGTCTCCACGACATCCAGTCCCCTTTATATCAATTTGGATGAGTGTTTTTTGAAGTTCTCATACCTCTTTGCATCGACACTCATAGTCACACAGGCTGGTGGGCTTCTTCCACGTGGGCTTTGTTGTTATCCTGCTAGATGGTCGCTTGTTTAATTACAAGCCTTTAAGACCCCAGATGCTATATCTTTTGATAGCCAGGCACAATTAACTTCCTTCACCACATTTGCCTATGCACCCATTTTGTCTTCAGCGATCTTGTCAGGAAGGTAAGGTTCATAAAATGCTACACTATTAGAACAAACTATTTTTGTACTGAGGCAAGAGTTAAGTAGAAGCCCAAAGCCCATACTCTTCTTTATTACATATGTATATATCTAGATATACACATATAAACAAATATATTTATTTTACTTTTTTCCTCCTAGCCCATTATTATGTTTGCCCACCGTTCATCCCTCAGATACAATTTGATTGATCAAACATGACCAGAAAAGCTACGTACTCCTCGCTGTCAATTTTAGAACACTGACCCTGTACTTGTCATTGTTGGCTTCCTGTTCACCTAACCCCACTCCCATGCCCCCAGAAACTGTCAGTCCAGTCCTATAGCAATACTTTTGGATTGCCCTCTATACACAATGATGAATCAAGACCAAATCGCATATTTAACATATTTGCAAATATGAAGAACTGAATAATTCACTCCCATCTCACCACTGTGGGGAACATAGAATTTCCAAATTCATGTTCTAGCAAATTATTTGTTAAAGACCTACAGAAGGCGCCCTAGTGGCATGGCGGGTCACAAGTTGGGCCACTAACTACAAGGCCAGAAGTAGATAGGCGATGCTCACTGAGCCATTTATCCCTCCGCCCCTTCAATTAACTCCACATGTGTCTATTGGCCAGGTGGGCACAATAAACTTTAACTAACTCAGGGTGTGTGGCCCCCTTAGCCTCCTACCAGCAATGTCTTCCCAGACTTCCCCACTAGCTAGGACTGTTGCTATGCCAACCTGTGCCCACCCATGGAGACCAGCTCTACAACCCTGTGAAGCAGTGCTACCATCATGAAACTCTCCTTCCCTGCAGCAGGATCAATCACTGTGGCCCCAACTCCACCTTTTGGGCCTGCTTTGGGCTCTGCGGTCTGAGTCTTTTGGCTGAACAAGAGGCTTCTGTCATGCATCCCTACCCTGGACCCTTCCGTAAGAAGTCCTGTTCATTCATTAATACAGGCTTCCTGTTACGTGTACCTTCTAAGTCTGTGTTAGCCCGGCTGACTAGAGAAACAAACCAGTGACAGGCATGTGAGTGTGAGAGAGGCTTATCACAAGAAGTAAGTATACACCAATGTCCCAGTCCAACTCAAGTCCACAGGTCTGAAACTT